AGAAGGATTACAAATTCAAGGCCATACTCAAAAACTCAGTAAGAACTTCTCTCCAAATATGAACTAAAAGGGACTGAGGATGTAGCTAATTATCAGAGCACCACTATATTTTATTGCCATTACATTCACATATAGAAGAATTCCATTAATATGTATATGGGTAGGATGAAAAGCAAATCAAGACAAAATATAAAAGTCAAGTGTAACAGGTGTAATTTTATACAAGCAAGTGAGATAACATATCATTTTATTGGCAATACAAAGAAGGATCATGCATGTCTTAATTGCAATTTACATTGTCCTAATTTGTAAAGCAATGGAAATTGCCATCTAATCATAAAATGGAATTAAAATCAAAAAATTAACCAATATGAGGAAACCTACTCTACAACATGGAACCTATTCTACAAAATAAAGAAAAAAAGTAACCAAAAAATGGTAAATAACCACAGATGTGTTATTTTGCAAACCTTTTTATTTAACTACAACTTACACCTAGGACTCTATATCCTCAAACAGCAGACATTGTGAATCTTGACATTCATTATATGGCAGATAATTTCACAGAAAATGTATGATAATTATTCAGAAAGATCTCAGCAAAGGGAAATTTAATAAATAAATATATAAATAATATTATAGAAACTACTTTATGATATTAATACATTACAATGGTTTTACCTAGAAGTATTCAGAAATATGCACATATTTCTTAGAGACTTAAAAACAGTGGACGAGCTGTCAAACCATGCACACCCTTACAAGTAAAGAGAGTGTTTTTTTGTTAATTTGAATTTACTGGGACATCATTGGGAGAAAAAGAAAATATTTAAAGAATTTGAAAACATGATATAGGGCAGTATATATTCTTCTATGATAACAATACAAAGAAACTGAAGCTTCTAAAAATATTTGCTGCCTAGCTTCTCAATCAACATATTGAAGTTTAATTTTCTCCTTGACATTTGGGCCTCTCAAATGTGCTTCTGGCATGTGTAGGCCACAACATTTTACATCATTGAATTTCTCTAAGTATGACTTATTGTAGTAAAGGATATATATCATGTCAAGAAAGGGGGAAACTAAAGATTAATAGAAATGTCATTAAAGTTTCTTGCCCATATCAAAAAATGCACGATCATTTTCCTTGAAAGCAAGAATGTAAATCCACTCATGCAGAGCAAGAACTCCCAAAATATATTCTGCAAGAAAGGGAACTTATTAACAATTAATTAGAAATCCTGAAGGAAATTTATGCTTACCCAGGAAGACCAGGTTTCCATAGTTCTCTAACATCACAACCCTCCATATATTCTGCTGAGTGAGCTCCAGTCATTCCCATTCTTCTTCAGAGAAATCAGTGGCCACAGCCCTGAATGTCAACAGTTTCTGCAATAACAATGGGTAAATAAATAGCACACTGAGCAAGTGATCATTTACAGAATTTTTAAAATTATACTGAAGCAAAATAAAAATTAGTGGAATTGCTTTAATTATTTAATGCAATACTTGTAAACACAGTGATTCTCTGGATTATCTATCTCTGAGGGAAAAGAGTGACAAAAGTCTAAAAAGAGTATATACTCCACTTTTTATAGCAATTTATTTATATATTTTTAAAATTCTAATGTATTATATATGACAGCAGAGTGCATTACAATTCATATTACACATATAGAGCACAATTTTTCATATCTCTGGTTGTTTACAAAGTATATTCACACCACTCGTGTCTTCATATGTGTTCTTGGGGTAATAATATCCATCTCATTTCACCATCTATTTTACTCCTATGCCCCCTCCCTTCTCCTCCCATCCTTTTGCCCCATCTAGAGTTTGTCTAATCCTCCCATGCTCCCCCTGCCAACCCCATTATGAATCAGCTTCCTTATATCAGAGAAAATATTTGGCATTTTCTTTTGGGGGATTGGCTAGTTTCACTTAGCATTATATTCTCCAACTCCATCCATTTACCTGCAAATGACGTGATTTTATTCTCTTATTGCTGAATGATATTTCATTGTGTATGTATACCACATTTTCTTTATCCATTCATCTACTGAAGGACTTTTAGGTTGGTTCCATAGTTTAGCTATTATGAATTCTGCTGCTATAAACATTGATGTGGATGTGTCCCTGTAGTATGCTGTTTTTAAGCCCTTTGGGTATAGACTGAGGAGTGGGATAGCCAGGTCAAATGGTGGTTCCACTCCCAGTTTTCCAAGGAATCTCCATAGTGCTTCCCATATTGTTTGCAGCCCCACCAGCAATTATATGAGTGTGCCTTTTCCCCATATTCTCATCCACACTTATTGTTGTTTGTGTTCTTAATAGCTGTCATTATGACTAAAATGAGATGAAATCTTAGAGTAGTTTTGATTTGCATTTTTTGTATATTTGTTGATTGTATATTATATTCTGAGGAGTGTCTGTTCAGTTCCTTGGCCCATTTATTGATTGGGCTATTTTGGTTTTTTGTTTGTTTTGTTTTGTTGCTGTTTTGTTGTTGGTGGTGATGGTGGTGTTTAGCTTTTTGAGTTCTTTGTATACCATAGAGATTAATGCTCTATCTAATGTGTGTGTGGTAAAAATTTGCTCCCATTCTGTATGCTCTCTATTCATGTTATTGATTGTTTCTTTTGCTGAGAAGCTTTGTAGTTTAAATCCATCCCATTTATTGATTCTTGATTTTAATTCTTGTGCTATGTGAGTCTTATTAAGGAAGTTGGGGCCTAATCTGATTTCATGGAGATTTGTGCCTACTTTTTCTTCCATTAGGCACAGTGTCTCTGGTTTAATACCAAAGTTCTTGATCCACTTTGAGTTGGGTTTTGTGCATGGTGAGAGATATCTTATTCCAGTCAGAATTGCAGCTATTATTAATACAAACAACAGTAAGTGTTGGCGAGGATGTGGGGGGAAAGGTACACTCATACATTTCTGGTGGGACTGCAAATTGGTGCAGCCAATAAGGAAAGCAGTATGGAGATTTCTTGGGAAGTTGGGGATGGAACCACCGTTTGACCTAGCTATCCCTCTCCTTGGTCTATACCCAAAGGACTTAAAAACAGCATACTACAGGGACACAGCCACATCAATGTTTATACTCCACTTTTATAGTATAAAATGTAAAATTAAGGCATCAACATGAGAATATACATTTTATTCTATTGTATGTTTTATAAGATCGACTGTATATATTTCTCAGATGAGAATGTTATGGTGATTAAGATTGATAATTCTTAGATTTTAATTGTACAACAATGAATCAGAGATTTACTGAAATGCAGAGTTTAATTCAGTAATTCTTCAAGTCGGGGTCTGGTTTTCTGAATATGTAGCAAGTTATTCTAATATCTCTAGTTATTCTAATATCAGTGGTACAAGACAAACTTCTGAACTTCAATGAGGTAGACAATTAAAGAAAACATTTATTGATAAATTTGATTTGAAATATTTAGGAAATTTGGGTAAGTTATGAAAATAGCAAATAGTAATAAAAATCCTTCTTGGTTATTATAAATATGTACATATCACTCTAAGAGTTTTTCATATATTGATTTATAAACCAAAAATAATGTAATAGCACTCATAGTGTGCATCTTTATGACATTTTATTAACCATCCAGAAAATGGTTGAGCTTGATTTTTTTTTATAAATCTATAGTTTTATTGAGACAAAAACTGACAGTGTGTATGAAGTTTGCATTGAAATAAAAATCTCATAGAAACTTAATACATGCCTAAAAAGATTTTACAATGTAACTCTAGATGCAGGTCTAGATGATATCAAGAACTTTTGGATTTCATGATTCAAGACAGCATTTTGGGTATCAATTAATTCATAATTTTTTTTCTTAAAAAAATTTAATGTGTTTAAAGTGAACCACTGCCCCAATATGAAAGCTAAACTCCTGAGACCAGGGCTTTTGAAACCACTCAACCTTTGAATTGACTTAATGAAACTTGTGCTGTCAGTGACTGAACTCTGCCACTAATGGTTTTAGAGTTCAAAGTTTAAAGCAGAGGCTAAACAGTTACCAACCCGAGTATGGGCCCTCCTCTTTCCCTACTCTTCCATTTCCTGTACCCCTTTGGCCCCTCCCCTGGTACTTCAGCCAGTGGCTTAGATGGACAAGCTGGTTTTATTTATAAGTTCATAATTGGAAAATAAACAGTCTTTTGTCTAATTACAAGAATTAGCACCTCTAAGACAGAATAATCTGCCTATGTATACTCTTCAATAAAAGACCTTCCTACCTCAGTCAGTTTCTATCTCCAGAATGGCAGCTTTGGTAACTTAGGAACTGGCTTAGTCCTTTGTGGGGAACAACGTTAACTCAGGCAGGAAACACCTTGGCTTATAGGTTTCAGGCATTCACAGCTTTTAAACAGTCTCTCACAGTCCTCATTTATGGTGCCAATGACTTTTTTTTAGTAAGGTAAAATATTCTGGACATAGAACCAAATCATTAGTTACTTGTTCTTTCCATTGTTTCACCCAGTCAGGCCCCAAATTTTAAAGAAAATATCCTATGCATCTCCCTTCTTCCCTGCCCAATCCCTCCCTCCCCAAATAATACACCAGTAATAGCCAAAAACTACACACACACTACCCTGTAAAAATGCAGAATTAACACTATTGGGAAGAAGGCTGTGGGTTGTGGAGATGCTCTTTGAAGATCAACAATATTTTTTGCCTTTCCACACACACAATTCTGCAAATTTTGTCCTTCATATAAGGCCCTTTGCTTTTCTCAATAAAGTGCAGAATGGGTTGCCTTGAAACACGCACCCCTTTCCCCTCCACTGGGATGGGTGTGCAGACTATACAGCTTGGAACGGCTTTAAAGCACTTGGGCTGTTGCAAGGCACAGAAACTGGACTGGCTCTTCAAAGGACATCTTCTCAAGCCACCTTTATGGTGTCAAGACAAGTAGAACTCCTTCCCTCCCCACTTAAGCCCAGTCACATGCTACAGGGGCTGGTACTCAGAAGACTTAATTCTTGTTATCTTTTTTATCATCATCCTCCAAGGGGTAGGAATGCCTCGTCAGCCTTTCCTCATAGAAGGATATGACAACCTGTGGACACTTGACATTGGCTTCTTTGGCAGGGACCAAGTCAGCCTCATCAGAGTTTTTCCATTTCATCAGGAACATGAGCTCTCCACTGGAGTCTGTAGCTCCAATAATCCGCTCCAGCTCCAAACCCCAGGCAAAGCCCCGTGGCTTTTCAGACTCTTCTTTTTTCTTCTTCAGTTTGCTCTCTTCTCCCTTATCTTCAGTATCCGAATCAGCTTTACGCTTGCTGCCCTCTGATTTATCTGTCTCATGTGCTGTTTTCTGGGACTGTAGAAACTCAGCAATGAGGTCAGGACAATCTAGGTTCTCTTCTGGCTCCCATGTATTGTCCTCATGTGAGAAACCCTTCCACTTTAGGAGGTACTCCACTTTGCCCTTTAAAACCCGACGATCCAGAACTTTTTCCACCACATATTCCTCTTCTTCTTCTTCTTCTAGTACCTCCTCTACTTTCTTCTTGTTTTGTTTTTTTCCCCATAGCACCTGCCAGCTTTCTGGTGTAAAGGGTGACGCTGCTCAGAGCAGCGCCCAAGAGTCCAGAAAGAATCGCTACTGATGCTTCGCCTAGGGCCAGCCAAGGGAGTGGCGCCCAGGAAAGCAACAAGCGGGATGGCCACAGTGGAGCCCCTAGCTATAGCCGCGTACAGCAGGCCCCAGCCAAAGGCCCTACTCTCAGCTGAACCAAAGAGCCTCGCACTCTTCGCTGCCAGGCGCCTGCATCCTTGAGCTTGAATTTTATCCAAGTTTATTTGATCTGGAATTCAAAAGAAAAAAAAACAAACATTAAATTCAAAAGAAAGTGTGAATGTTAAAAATTTTCCAAAGCAGAGCAGTCATTTTAAATGAAAAGTATAATGGAAACCTGTTAAGGAGAAAAAAAAATTGAATTTATCAAATAGCATTTATATTTTATATAAACAAACATAAGTATCAACATTTTATACATCAAAAAAACATACAAATAAAAATTTTAAAATTTATTCAATTTTTAAAAATTATGCATCAATTTGGATATTGACACTTTAAAAAAGACACTATTGAGCCAGGTGCAGTGGAACACACATGCAGTTCAATGCAGTTCCAGTAACTCAGAAGGCTGTGATCCTAAGCAACTTAGCAAGACCCTGTCTCAGAATAATAATAATTAAAAAAAAAAAAAAAGTTCTGGGGATGTGGTTCAATGGTTAAGCTCCTCTGAGTTCAGTCCCTGGTCAAAAAAAAAAGAGTACACTATTAAGGTTTACACATTTAAGAGTAGAAGATAAAAATAGGAGCTACAGTTTACTTTATGAATCTTGTGCATTCTTCAATTTCCTCAATTTTATGAATCTTGTACATTCTTCAAGGTTACTCATGATTTGTTTGAAGCTGTATTTTATAACTTTCAGATACTTGGAAAGATATAATTTTTGTTCATTTTACTAAAAAATACAAGCATGTGAGTGGGCTGTCTCTCATAGAAAATTTTGAAATTGAAAGAAAATATAAAGCAAATAATGTTTTGTTCAAGGCATCAGAGGGAATTTGGTATAATTTCCCCCTCTGTTTTGTAGCATGTCTTTAATTTCTTGTGTGTTCTTTCTATGATGCCTTGAGTCTGAGGGTTATAGGGGATTCCAGTTAAGTGCTGTATATGCCAATTGTGGCAAACTACTTGAAATGTCTTCCTAGTATAAGTTGGCCCGTTGTCAGTTTTAATAGACATAGGAACATCCATAATTCCAAAACATTTTAATAAATGAGAAATTGCTTTTTTTGTGGTTTCTCCTGTGGAGGCTGTGGCCATTGCATAGCCTGAATAGATATTAATGACTACATGAATATATTTTATATTTCCAAAATTTGCACAGTGAGTGACATCCATTTGCCATAAAGCATTAGATTTTAACTCTTGGGGATTCACTCCAGCAGGTTGTAAAGGGCCAATGGGGGGAAAGGGGTACACACTTTTGCAGTCTCTGACTAGCTGTTTGCAAGCCTCCTTATTCCTGCTTTTATGCAACTGCCATGGCTGAGGCCAGCAGAGATGCTTCAGCTGCTTGTGTCCCTATATCCTGGGTGACCAAAATCCAGTCATGCAGTGTGCCATTTCATACTGGCACCACTGCTGCTCTATGTTCCTTATTTAATCCTTCCCAGATCAATTCCTTGGCTAAGGCCACCTTGGCTCCTTCATGAGACATCTTCCCTTCTACTACCTTGTTTACTCTGTCAATAAACTGTGGCAAGTCTTCAGTGTCTTTTTGCCATAAGCCCTGTATAGAAACTGTACCTTCCCCAGCTAGCAACTTTCTCCAAGCTCTTAGAGCACAGAGCCACACCTGATCAAATTAATTTTGTGAGCCTGTGGCTTGTACTTCAGGGGAACTGTAGATTTCCTCTCCCTGAAAGCATGCAGCTGGGAGGTTAACATTTGAGGTGTGGTTACAATCCTCCTGCTGTTCACATTTATCATAGAAACATGCTTTCCACTTCAAAAATGTTGTGGGCTCAAGAGCTGCTCTGGCTAGGTCTTTCCAGTCTCAAGGGCAATTAATTTCAAGACTGAGTGATTTGAACATTTGCTCTGCAAAAGGCCCCTGGGGCCCATCCTCTTTTACTGCCTTCTTTAACTCCTTCAGGGTACCCAATGTGTGTGGATACCAAGTGGCAGGGTGCTGTGGTATGGGGGCTGTGTAGATTGGGAAGGCTTTTATTCCTTTACCACACTTTTTATCTCTTATCTTACATAAATCCTCAAAAGGATCTCTGGCTTCCTGGAATGGCTTTCTGGGAGACCATAGCTTGGGCCTGTATGGGGGCCTGGTCATTTCTAAGCTGTCATAGTCCCTTGCTGGCTTTGGTGTTGCCTCATAAGGAGGCAGTTGCCATTGACTCAGGGAAGAATATAATCTTTGTCTGTCTTTGTAGCGACCAGTCAAGAAGTGGGCCACGGAGTAAGCACAGGGACTACAACAAATGGACTCATGCCCAGGGCTGTACCTACGGGGTAAGCAGTCTGCTGCTCATGTGCCTAGTCTGAGGGGAGTGGCCTGCCACTCAGATGCCATTAATGTATGCTATGTAGGCAGTACTCCATGCACTTGTGGCCACAAGCATGTTCAGAGGTACATGTATGTGACCTAGAGGTAAAATAAAATGAAAGCCTAGAAGACTGTGGTCTGCCTCAAGACCTCCAGTAACAAAGTCAATATCTATATTGAACAAAAGTGAGAGCTTCCATTCTCCAATGCGAGAGAAAAATAAACTAACAAAGAAAGAAAGAAGAGTTTCTGTACCAAAGTGCCACAGTCTGGCTGGGAAAATAACCAGAAGGTGACAAGCAACTTGTGAAGGTTGAAACAGCAGGATCAGCTTTATACAGGACAGCAGAGGTATATATATACCCAACTAATTACACACAGCTTAACTTAATTAACATCATCTAGATACAGCAGTCAGTCATTAAGGAATCCTCATCATCTTAATGGCTCACTGGCATTACTTCACAAACCACTCCTCCTGGCAAACTTCCAGGCGCCATCTTGACTTGATTTGCATCCCCTACATCTCCTCCCTTTTGTTTTATTAAACAACAAGTATGTGGCTTAGGGACCGTGCCTGTTTTAGGTTGTCCAATACTACATATGGTCCTTACCCATCATTGGATGGTCTGACCTCAAATCGTCAGCCTCCTGTCTTAGGTTGGTACCACTGTAATTAGATCTTACCCATCTTTGACTACCAGTCCAACATATTTAGCCATACTTGTGGATAATGACCATAGTGGTTTTTACACAAACACCATAAACAATCTGCTACAAGCAGAAGGAGGAGGATATAAAATGCCACGATATCAAGCCATTGACGGCTCCAAGTAAGAAGCCCTTGGAAAAATTGTACCACAGATGACACCGTCAGCAAAGGTACCCTGGTACTAATTACAATTTGTTGTATCAGTTCATAATGCATATAAGTGATACACAGTCCAGGTAAGTTCCACAAGCAGCTTAAAGCAGAGGAATCCATTAATGCATCCATTTTCTCTTAAAGTAAATCGACTCTTTGATTGAGCGTCACTTGTTGAGTTATATTATTCATTGATGCATCTGTTTATACAGTTTGTGTGATAGCTACTGCAGAAGCTGTTGCAGCAGCAGCAGAAACAGCAACAGCTGTGATGATGGTAGCTGTAATTCCGAAGTCTCAGCAACACTGGAAATCCCTCCACCCATCTCCTCACCAGCACTGGGACAAAGGCAGGAACTCTGGCAATGATGGCTAAAGAAAATCATGTAGCATTCCAGCAGGCATTAAGAAAACAACCTTCTGAACAATTTAGTACATTATCTCAAGGTTTTTTACATTTGAAATAGGCTTCAATGGTGCTCATTATTCATTAGCCTCCAGGTGTGGGAGAACCATTGTAGCTAAATTGGAGTTCTGGATATCAGCTGTTATGGATTTAAGACATTGCTAACCCTGCATTTATCCACAGGAATAGCGAGGAGTCCCGTGGCAGCACCTGCAGCAAATAGGGAAAAAACTGACGGCTCATTAGTTATTGGCATTGGAAATGGCCAAACTTCAGGGGCGCCAGGTGCATCCTTTGCTGCTGGCCGCAGCATCCCCGGGCAGCCCCATGGCGGGGGTTGGGGGGGGTGGGGGGGGCCTGGGAAGGGCCTGTGGCCGCCACTGCCACCAGCTGGAAAGTCCCCGCTGTGCCCGCGACTGGCTCGTGCAAGCAGCAGCCGCCGCACTGCTTCACGCACCCTCCGGTGATGAAAAGAGATTAATAGCAGCCTTTTGTTGTAGCACTTTGCCCTGATAGTCCTTCCTCCTCTGAACTTTCTTCCTCTTTCTGACTAGAGTTCCTGGGTTTTCATCAACGTATGCCCTAACTGTTCTTGGTTTTACTGAGGTGCCTCCTTCCCTTAGCAATTTACTTAACACCCCCTCGGTCTGACCTTCCCTAACTTCTGATCCCATATTTCCATAACAAAGACAATACAACACACCAAGACAAAACAAGACAAAAACACACTGTATCAATCTTCTCCATTTTCTTGAAATGGCCATCCTTCCTCTCACCCTATCTGCTTCTAGGGATGAGCAACTTTCCTTGTCACTCACCCCCTAGTGTCCCGGGGCTCCCCTGTATGGGCCACCATTTGCCGCAGTCTGGCTGGGCAAATAACTGGAAGGTGACAAGCAACTTGTGAAGGTTGAAACAGTGGGAGCCGCTTTATTATGGGACAGCATAATTATATATACCCAACTAATTACACACAGCTTAACTTAATTAACATCATCTAGATACAGCAGTCAGTCATTAAGGAATCCTCATCATCTTAATGGCTCTCTAGCATTACTTCACAAACCACTCCTCCTGGCAAACTGCCAGGTGCCATCTTGATTTCATTTGCATCCCCTACACCAAAGAGACTGATTTCTGTAGATTATTTAGAAAGATCCTACCAATATTCTTAATGATTAATGGAAAGCAATTAAAATTATAGAAAAAAATCTGACAGAGTATTTAAACCAGCAATAGTTAAAACACCTGTAATTGAGGAGGTTGTTATGAAGTGTCAATTGGCATACAAGGACACTTCATCACTACTGTCATATTGGTAGCCAAATCAAAATAAAGTAAAATGTAATGCATAATGTCTGTCAACTCTGAAAATACACCACTTCATGTAATTTTTAAACTGTACATATTTTCCATGCCCTGTAATTGAAAATAGGTTATTTCTATAGACTTTCATTAGCATCCTAGAGAATTAAACTTTTCTAGTTTTTCTGTTCTTTTAGAACTCATTAACTTATTAGGGGCAATGAATGTGCATTACACTTAGTCTTTCAACTTAAAGATGTTGGAATTTCCAGACAGAAATTGAATAAAGGATGGTTTAGTTCCTTAGCAATATCTAATGATCCCAAAATATCCACAGTGGAAATTTACGATACCAAGACTTTCTGATGTTTACTTTTCAAAAAGTAATTTTTTTCAACACTGCAGGTTATGAATTCATGGCATGATTTAGATGAAAATATAGAATAAAAGTAAAGGCTCTGATATATATATATTCATATGAACATATATATTTTATAGTTAAAATTGACTATTGTAAGAGGAATAGGAAATAAAGTAGTTAAAATATTCTAAACACAAAAGTGAAAGTTAAGGAAGTAAATGTCTGCAAGTTCTAAATATCAGGTACTTTGGGAGGAAAATTCAAGGCAGCTCCTGACCTGGACCACACACCTGAAAACCAATAACATGTTCTTACTCCTTCTCTAGCCTTCTTTCTTAGAAGAGATTGTCTACTGTTTGCAAATATGCTTTTAAAGGAACAATAACAACTATGTCCTCAAGAACCTTCCTTTGTAGGCTCAAGAGTATTTTAACTAGAAGTCACTGAGTGCAGACCACTCTACGTCCCTACTTTTTTTGTACCAGGAATTGAACTCAGGACTCTCAACCACTGAGCCACATTCCCAGCCCTATTTTGTATTTTATTTAGAGACAGGGTTTCACTGAGTTCCTTACTGCCTCACCTTTGCTGAGGCTGGCTTTGAATTCATGATACTCCTACATGAATTCAAAACAGATATGTTTTGACTACAAAGCAGATATGTCAGATCCCCAGTTAAAGTCAGAACATTCTGACACCTTAGACATTCTGCCATCCCCATTTTTAATTATTAAGGGAAATTAGATACTCCTGCCTCTGCCTCTGCAGCTACTGGGATTATAGGGAAACACCTGGCCACAATTTTATTTATATAAATTTAAATTTAAAAGTATCCACTATTGAATGAGTAAAAATAATCAAACTCAGTGAGTTTTTGTTGTTTTGTATTAAGGATTGAATCAAGAGTAATTTTAAAATTTATCACTAACCAATGTATGTAGTCCTTATTTTTTATTTCAAGACAGGGTCTCCCTAAGCTTCTGAATCTTATCTCAAATTTGTGATCCTCCTGAATTTTCCACCTGAGTAGCTGGCATTATAAGACAAACACAACCCTACATACCTTGCCAAACTCAGTGTTTATATTTACAGGAGACAATAAATGTGTAAAGCAATTATATTTCATACCTCTGGATGAAAAACAAAAGTAACTTTTTCAGAAAACTTACATATTGTGTTCTTTTTACCTTCATGTAGCATTTCATTTACTAAAAAATAAATCATATGTGAATAATTTTATAATTTGTCAAAATTTACTTCACTTGATTTAGTACTTAACTCCAATATGCCAATCATAATATCTATGATTCGCTGTCACAAGTCTTCAAGAAAGAGAAACTGATGATTTGGTAAATTTTAAATCCATCAAGTCAACTGCCATAAAATTTTTAAGAACTGATCCTTTTTCTGCAGCCATAACGGGAGGTAAATTTTTCCTATTTACTTTCTCTGGTAGACTTTCAAAAGTTTAGCCATGGAAAACCACTTGAAATCAACACTCAAAAGAACATACATGAAAGGCCACCTATAAACTCTCTGGGGAAGAAAAAAGAACAGTAAAAATTAAATAATATAACACCTACTTTTTTAAAAAAATCCAACTCTATTCTGTTGCACTGAAAATATTTCCTTATGTTTGAAGGTCTAATAAGGAAATGTATTTTTTTTTTCAGTTAGGGACATTTTGAAGCTGAAAATAGGTGAAGAAATCTTTTGAAGGTGAGAAGACCATGGGGAAAAAAATGTTGACTACAAAACAGATATGTCAAATCCCCAGTTAAATTCAGGACATTCTGAAACCTTAGACATTCTGTCATCCCCATTTTTAATTACTAAAGGTCATCGTGGATGCTAGTCCACTCTAATGGGTATGAGTTTTCCATAAAATTTAGTTCACAGCTCAGCAAATATCCAGAGAGAAAAGTAAACTGTGTATTCTCTTTTAACACAAGGAACCAATTTGGGTCCCCAAATATATATATATTTATAAAATGGAGGTCATGGGGGCACCAGGGTTGTGGCTCAGAGGTAGAGCACTCACCTACCATGTGTGAGACACTGGGTTCCATCCTCAGCACCACATAAAAATATAATAAAATATTGTGTCCACCCAAAAACTAAAAAATAAATATTTTTTTTGAAAAATGTTTAAAAATGGAGGCCATAAGGAAAATGTGTATGTCCAAAATGTTACATATGTAGATGAATTGGGAAATGGGATATTTCTCTTAGTCTGAAGGTAATCAGTTGTTCCCTGAGTCTCCACTCCAATCCTCAGACTTTCTTATCAAAAGACATGGTGAGGAGAATGATGGTCTATAGACAAACTAAGAGAAACACCCCGTGGGTGACATGTGTCATCTCCAGAAAGTTTTGAAATTCAGTACCAGGAAAAAAGAAAGGACGGTGGATAAGAAAAAGAATAAATATTTGGTTCTAGTGAGCTTTTTATTTCTGTGATATATGTAGCTAAAATAACAATACAGAAGAGAGACATTTATTTTAGCTCACAGGTTCAGAGTACTCAGTTCAAGGCAGACTTAACCCAAGAGAGAAACATGGAAGAAGGGTATGAAGAACAGCAATTAAGATGACAGTCCAGTAGCAGAAAAGGAAAAAGGTGCTGAGAGAAGTCAATTATATTATGGGCAAACCCATTGACCTACTTCCTCCAACTAGTTCCACTTCCCAGAAATCCATTCAGTTGTTCCACTGAAGATGTGAAGTCCTCCCTCATGAACCAATCATTGTATA